TCCCTGAGCCTGGCTCTGCTGGAGGTTTCTTCCTGTTAAAAGGGAGTTTTTCCTTCCCACTGTCGCCAAAGTGCTGCTCATAGGGGGTCATATGATAGTTGGGTTTTTCTCTGTATGTGTTATTGTAGGGTCTACCTGACAGTATAAAGCGCCTTGAGGCGACTCTTGTTGTGATTTGGTGCCGTGTAAATAAAATTGAATTGAATAAATATCATTTCACTGTAGAGTACAGACTTATTTCTTTAAATTGCCTTTCATCGTGGTGTACCTGTAAAGGAAGAGATATCGCTCTTTATAGGTGCTCGCTCCGAGAGGCTCGCTGACGATGTGTTTGTACTGAGGAGAATCTCTGGGGGGAAACACAAACACACACTTTTATGTTTCCATATGTTTGCGTTTCATGCTCAGTGTCACTCTGAATGGTCCATGTTCACTGTGTAGACTCACTTGTTGACGTACTCCATGAGTGTTTGGGTGGCTGAGAGATCAGCGTCTCTGACCTCTTGGATCAGAATGACGTCATAGCGTTGGACAATCTGCAAAACACACATAAAAAATGAAAAGAATCACCTGATTGTCCATCTTGCAACATCGCATTTGTTTATATTTTATCTTGTACGAAAAAATTCACATGTTTAGCTTTAGATTGTAAAGGCAACGCTACATGTTGCACATCCAGTTATTTCATTGATCATTCCTTAAGCATTAAGCATAGAGGTGGGAATATTCTGGGAATATTCAGGTTTACTTCTACAACAGGCCAAATCATCCAAAGCATTTCTCAAAATTCAGTTCAAACTATTTTAAAACACACAAGATAACACTTCTGGGTTGGTTTTGAAAGCACTCTGACCCAAATTGCATTAAAATGGGTGGATGTAAACATTTTGTACAAACTGTCATATCTACCAAAGAGGGGAAAGTTCCAGACCTTGGTAATGATGTTCATCAGAGTGGAGTTGGAGGCTTTGGTGTCTCCGAAGGATCTGATGTTAAAGGCTCCCAGCAGCAGCGAGTCAGAGAGATGCAGCAAGGCCAGGAAAAGCCCCAAAGTGCACACCAGATGCATCCTACACCAAACAGGTGACATGTTGTAAAAATGACTTATAAATCATATGAAACACTGACATTCACAAATGATTTGACATTTATTTTACACGTTTGTATGCAAATGACTTCCCAGGTTATCAGGTTAATCATTTTCAGTTCCTGTGCATTAAAAACCGATTTGCAGGCTGAAGTAAGGCCTTTCCTTTCACTCCATACTTTTCTGTCATAAAGTCCAGTTTAACATGGAGTTTAGTCCAAAGCAAAGCAGCTCATGTTGCACCATCTGCTGAGAGCTCATGACATAATAGTGTGAGAGTGAGAGACCAAACACCTGCTCCTCTTTTTGGCAGTTTATCTAACATTGCTATTTAGCGTGTCGCTATTTGCAGCATGCTGCAAGGCTTGGTAAAATATTACTCTTTTAGGACAATATATTACTCTGTTGCCCTGGTTACACCGTCCTGGAGCTGTTGTGGAAGACCAAAGGTTGCCAAATATGGAAACAGAAAGCTGCATTTATACTGTGATGTTTGCATGTGCTGTTGAAATGTGTTTGTAAACGCACAATCCATCACTGCAGGAAAAATGAATTAGTGACAATGCACAGAAGTTACTGTAACGCTGCTGTAGCCTGAAACATCCATTCTGGCTTACAGCATCGCACCGAATACAGCTCAGATGTTTTTGTAGCAAGTAAGAGTGAGAGGTGCATACCTGCTCCTGTATGTCTGCATGGTGGAGACGCTCGAACTCTGGAATCTTCTGAATGCTCCTGAAAAGCTTCTGAGCAGAATGGCGAACAGTGGCTCTTTTGAGGTTTTTATCTACCTGCAGGCACATGTGACTGCAGTGTGCTGGGGAGGAGGACAGAGGAAAGGTGTGTTGTGGATGGGGTACAGATCTCAGGCTTTCAGGTTCTCAGATCCCAAGATTGCAGTGCAACAAGGATAACGTTGCAACCTCAAATTCTTTTCTGCTCGTCGTACAATAAAAACACTTCAGCATTGTTTTAACTTACTGTTGTCCTGTTTGGCATTTGTGTGAAGCTCTGTCACACTTCACAAATGAATTCAGAATGAGTGTCGCAGTGTTG